GTGATAGACCACCCCGCTGTGCGGATGCCAGAGACGAAGCCGCAGAATCAGGCCGTCCCCCAGCAGTGTGCGGGGGGCCAGGGACACGCGTCCCTCGCCTCCTCGTTGTCCTCCTCCTCGTCTTCTTCCTCCTCCTCCTCCTTTTCCTCATCCTCATCCTCATCCTCATCCTCATCCTCATCCTCATCCTCATCCTCATCCTCATCCTCATCCTCATCCTCATCCTCATCCTCATCCTCATCCTCATCCTCATCCTCATCCTCCTCATCCTCATCCTCATCTCCTCCTCCCTCTCCTCCTCCTCATCCTCATCCTCCTCATCCTCATCCTCCTCCCTCCTCCTCATCCTCCTCCCTCCTCCCTCCTCCTCCTCCTCCTCCACGAGAGGCTCGCCCCCCCCCGGTCTGAGCCAGGGTCTGCGGCCCCAAGGCCGGGGGGGGGGGAGGAGGAGGAGGAGGAGGAGGAGGAGGAGGAGGAGGAGGAGGAGGAGGAGGAGGAGGAGGAGGAGGAGGAGGAGGAGGAGGAGGGAGCCGCTGGGGCGGCCGCTGGTGCCGGCGGCGCCGTCGGCAGCGGCGGCGGGCGCGAGCGGCGGCGTCGGCCCAGGCCAGGCAGGGGGAGGCGTGGTGAGCTGGACGGGTCCCGCTCCGCCTCCCCGCCGCCTGCCGTGCAGAATTCGGCGACGTGCACGTCCCGCGTCTGCCCCCGACCCGCGGCGAGGGCCCTCGCCGCTGCGACGGAGAGCGTGTCTCGCACGGACCCCCCTCCCCCGTTGGGCTGGCCTCGCTGCCCCCCCGGCACGGCCCGTCGCTTTTCCTTTGGCCCGGAGCGTCCCGCGACGCGGCCCGGGCCGCCAGGCCTCGCCCTGCGGGACGCTTGCCTGGCCGCCCGAGGGGCCTGCGCCGCCCTGTCCGAGGTCCGCGCGGCAGATGTGCCTCCCAAGTGCCCGTCCGCGGTGGGCGGGCTTGGGTAATTACGGTGGGTTCGTGTCGTGTTGACGCGGCGGCGACCCCGGCGCTGGCGTGCAAGGTTGAAGGTCGCCAATGGCCCAGGAGCGGCCAGTGTGGGACAATCTGGCGGTCGAAAAGCCTCCAATGGTTCAAGGTTGAACGAGGCGCGAGGTGTCAGAAACCAACGCTGGGGTCAGCACGACACGAATCTGCCGTAGCAAGTCATGGGAGCTTCGTGTTCCCTCGTGCTTCCGTCTTTGGAGTGCATTCGTGTGCGCTGGCGTAATTTGAAGGGATCCTGCTGGAGGGGTCTTTTAATATATATATATATATATATATATATATATATGTATATACATGTACAGATGTGTGTGTATATATATATATATATATATATAAATATGCCTTGCCTTGCTACCGCCTCCTCCGCTCAAAGCGGCGCCGCCTTATCCGTCAGCGGCCATCCGCGTCCTCTCGTTGGGTAATAATTTATGGGAGCCTCGTATGTTCCCGTACTTCTGCCTTTAGAGCGCTTCATGATGTGCTAGCGTCAAGTGGCCTCGGGGTGCGACATGGAGGAGTTACTCATCAAGAGAAGGAGGAGGAGGAGGAGGAGGAGGAGGAGGAGGAGGAGGAGGAGGAGAAGGATGAGGAGGAGGAGGAGGAGGAGGAGGAGGAGGAGGAGGAGGAGGAGGAGGACGAGGAGGATGAGGAGGAGGATGAGGACGGGAGGAGAGGAGGCGGGAGGCGGAGGAGGAGGAGGATGAGGATGAGGAGGGGGACGAGGAGGAGGAGGGGGAGGAGGATGAGGAGGAGGAGGGGGAGGACCAGGAGGAGGAGCAGGAAGAGGATGAGGAGGAGGAGGAGGAGGAGGAGGAGAGGAGGAGCAGGAGGAGGAGGAGGAGGAGGAGGAGAAGGAGGGGAGGGAGGGAGAGATGGAGGAGGAGGGGGAGGAGGAGGAGTTGGAAGGACATGCCAGCCTGGACGAGCGAGGCGGGCCCCAGCGTGGTGGAAGCGCGGAGACGACCAGGCCGAGAGCGCGCGCGCGCACCACCCGGCCGCCGCGCCCCCGCGAGAACATCTGCCGCTTGGGTTTCTCCCTGCCGCTCACGTCGCTCTTCCTCGGCGACACAGCGGACGGCTGGGGTGTGCGGCTCGGATCCGTGCAGGCTTCTCTTCAGACTTCACTGAGCGCGCCCCACTGCTCGCAACGTGCCTGTTCGCAAACGTCCAGAATACACATGTCTGCCTCGATGTAGTGTATCGTAGATCCGCCATGGCGGATCCAGGCCATCTGCGAGTAGTTACTTTGCGAGTAGTGGAACTCGCCTGTCTATCAGAGGGGCAGCCGAAGAAAAAACCTCCAGAGGAGGAGTCGAAGAATCGTCGTCGTCGTCGTCGTCGTCGTCGTCGTCCATCACCCGTCGCCCGTCGTCGTCCGTCGCCCGTCGCCCGTCGTCGTCGTAGTCGTCGTCGTCGTCAGTCGTCGTCGTCGTCGTCGTCGTCGTCGTCGTCGTCGTCGTCCGTCGTCCATCGTCCGTCGTCCGTCGTCCGTCGTCGTCGTCGTCCGTCGTCCGTCGTCCGTCGTCGTCGTCGTCGTCGTCGTCGTCGTCCGTCGTCCGTCGTCCGTCGTCGTCGTCCGTCGTCCGTCGTCGTCTTCGTCGTCGTCGTCGTCCGTCGTCGTCGTCGTCGTCGTCGTCGTCGTCGTCGTCGTCGTCGTCCGTCGTCCGTCGTCCGTCGTCGTCGTCCGTCGTCCGTCGTCGTCGTCGTCGTCGTCGTCGTCGTCGTCGTCGTCGTCGTCGTCCGTCGTCCGTCGTCCGTCGTCCGTCGTCCGTCGTCCGTCGTCGTCGTCGTCGTCGTCGTCGTCGTCGTCGTCGTCGTCGTCGTCCGTCGTCCGTCGTCCGTCGTCCGTCGTCGTCGTCGTCGTCGTCGTCGTCGTCGTCGTCGTCCTCGTCGTCGTCAGTCCTCGTTGTCGAGAAACATCGGGATCAACACACACCCGCAGGAGGCCCTGGCGGCGCTTCAGCGCCGATCCGGAAGAACTTCGCTCGGACCTCCGCAGTGCTACAGTGGAGACCCATGCCAAGGAACACCCTGCTCGCCTCCGGGTTTCTTGGACTTCGAAGGTCTTGCTATGGAAAGCGTGACGTTCCCAAACCAAAAATCAGTGGACGTCCTGGGTTCTCAGGGTTGGGCTTCTTGTGGAAGGTCTCCTTGTGGTCGAGCTCCTACTGGAGGTGCTCCCCCCACCGAGGGTCTCGAGTATAGCCGCGTCTCGCTCGGCGTGGCTTGGGCCGCTGGGCTGTCCCTCCCCAGGGCGGCGGTGCGATGGCGCGAACAGGACCGCGCGCCGTGCATCAGGAGGAGGAGGAGGAGGAGGAGAAGGAGGAGGAGGAGGAGGAAGAGGAGGAGGAGGAGGAGGAGGAGGAGAAGGAGAAGGAGGAAGAGGAGGAGGAGGAGGAGGAGGAGGAGGAGGAGGAGGAAGAGGAGGACCCAGGGAGGGAAAGGGTGATGAGTGGATTCGGCAGTCCTCCTGCCTTCTGAGAAGTTTTCCAAGCCTTCCCCGAAGACAAAACAAAACTTCTCAGAAGGCGCGAGGGCTTCTGAGAAGTCCCGCCGCCTTCTGCCGAAAAGGCCGTCTTCTTCTCATTTCCCCCCTCGCTCGCCGCCAGTAGGAGGGAAAGGGTGAGGAGTGGATGGAGAGGGGAGGGATTTCGAATAACCAGATTGGCACACACACACACCAACTTTCGGAGCTCTTAGGCACAGCGATCGATTGAGCAGCCTCGAAGGTATTGATCTTATGACGAGGGAGGGGCAGAGATGAGAAGAGAGGTATGATATTGTCGACTTCGAGATGTCCAGCGGCGAGGTCTCGACGGGGCCCTTCGAACGATTTCGATGCCGCCCTGACCATCGAAGACGCGTGCGGCGAACCACCGCCGCAGGCCCATGTGGCCAAACGTTGGATCAACGTCTGCTATTGGACTATTTGTGCTCCCTCCGCCGTTGTGGACCCCCTTTGGGGAACACCTCGGATATATATATATATATATATATACATAGAGAGAGAGAGAGAGAGAGAGAGAGAGAGAGAGAGAGAGCGAGAGAGAGAGAGAGAGAGCGAGAGAGCGAGAGAAACGCTGAGCAGGAGGAGGAGGAGTAGCAGCAGCAGGAGGAGCAGGAGGTGCAGGAGGAGGAGGAGGACGAGGAGGAGGAGGAGGCAGAAGGAGGAGGAGGAGGAGGAGGAGGAGGAGGAGGAGGAGGAGGAGAGGGAAGAGAAGGACCAGGACGAGGAGGAGGAGGAGGAGGTGGAGGAGGAGAAGGAGGAGGAGAAGGAGAAGGAGGAGGAGGAGGAGGCGGAGGCGGATGAGAGGCAGGAAGAGCAGGATGCCTCTTGAGGCCGTTTCGGGGCTTTCTGGGGGCTCCCCAGGAGCCTCTTGGGTGCACCTACGGGGCCTCGTTGGGGGCTCCTCGGGCCTCCTGAGGCCCGTTGGAGCCTTCTTGTGGTGGCCTCTGGGGGCCTCTTCGGACCTCTGGTGGCCTTCGGACGGAGACATCTTGTGGGCCTCTCTGGGCATTCGTGCGTTCCTGTCTGGGCAGTTTATGCCCGTCGTGGAAGTCAGGGGCCATCTCCGGGCCGTTTTGCAAGCATCTCGGGCCGTCTTGGGGCCCTCTTGGGCCGTCTTGACGGCCTCTGAGGCCCTCTTGGGTCGATCTTTGGGGCCTATGGGGCCGTCTTGGAGCGTCGGAAGCCCGAAAAGGCGAGACTACTGAACTTGTCGGAAAACCAACCGGACGTCAATGATTTTGCCCTCTCGGAGTTCCTCTTGGAGCCTTCGTGGGGCATCACAGGGGGCCTCTTGGGCCGTCTGTGGGGTATCCTGGGCCGCACTGGGACCACCTTCGCCTTTTTGGAGGCGTCTTGGGACCATCTTGGAGGCAGTGTTGGTCTTCTTGGGCAGCTTGAACGTCTGGGCGGCGAGGGCGGCGGGTCCAGCCGGTGGCCACTGGGAACTTTCGGCCGATGTTCAAACCAGTGTCGGGGGAGCGTAAGACCTGGGTTTGCCAGGACTCGGGTTCGCCATCGTTTTTTGACGACCGCGCCTCGGATTTTGACGAGGAGGAGTTTCGTGGGATGTCTGCAGCGGGAGGCCTCGTCACAATGCAGGCTCGGCCTCGTCATTTTTTCGACGTCCTCGTCGGGGATTTCCGAGTCCCCTGTACCCGGGTCTTACGTCCCCCTGACAGTGAGCAGTTTTGCACGCCCCGCACTCTTGTTTAGTAACAGTGTTCGAACAGAAGAAAGGTTAATTAGTGTTTCGAAGACACCTCTTGGATGTCCATGGATGTCCATGGAGGTCAATGGGGCCGCTGGAGCGTCGGAAGTCCGAATAGGCGAGAGTGTTATGTAAGCTGATTGAAGAATCAATGTGCGATCACTGATTTTGGCCTCCAGGAGGTCCTCTTGGAGCCCTCTTGGTGTGTCTTGGGGACCTCTTGGGCCGTCTGGAGGGTACCTTGGGCCGTGTTGGGGCCATCTTGGCAATCTTGGAGGCGTTCGGGGACCGTCTTGTAGATTATCTTGGACCATTTGCGCCGTCCCGGAAGCATCTTGGAGGCCATCTTGAGCCATCTTTGCTTGGTGGCGTCAGGGACCCTGCTTCCCCCCTCTTGGGCTTTTCCGGGCAGCCAGCGCGATCGGCCAGGACCTCGTTGGGAACTTTCAAGCATGTCTGAAACACGGGCAGGATCAGAGCGCCAGGTGCCCCCTTGATGCAGTGGGGACCCATGCCAAGAAACACCCTGCTCGCCTCACGGGTGCCCTGGGTTTCTTGGGTTTTGAGGGTTTTGCAATGGGAAGCGTGACGTTCCCACACCCAACATCAATGGACGTCCTGGGGTCTCAGGGTTGGCTTTCTTGTGGAAGGTTTCTTGTGGTCGGGCCCCTACTGTAAATGAACAGGGCCTGCGGATGACGGAAAGCGCGCGTAGCGTGCGATCCGTTAGTCGTGAGGAATAATTAGGGGGAGTGTGGGTGGCCTTTGCATTGCGGGGATCTCATGGCCCGCCCTTTTCCCTGTTAACGGAGCCCTTAACAGTGAAAATTGGGTGTTTTTCTGGCCCTCCCGTTTCCCTGTTAACGGACCGTTCACAGGGACATGTTTCGCTCGGGGACACTTTTTCCTTGTTAACGGAGCTCTTAACATGGAACATCGGGTGCTTCACAGGGAAAATCCATTCCTTTTCTTTGTTAACGGAGGCCTTAACAGGGAAATCGGGTGCTTAACAGGGAAAATCAGGTGACGGACGCTCGGGCACCCGTTTCCCTGTTAACGGAGCCCTTAAAAGGAATTTAACAGGGGGAATTGGGTGACGGACGCGTTTTTTTCTTGTTAACGGACCGTTAACAGGGAACACAGTTCCCTGTTAACGGACCGTTAACGGACCCTGAACACCGCGGCTCCCAAGAGCGAGCAGTGACGTAAACAAGCTGATAAGACCAAGGCTCCCAACAGAGAGCGGTGACGTAACCAGTTCTCGACACCAGGGCCCGAAACGGGCGGCGACGTAAGCTACGCATAAGCTCCGCATAAGCTCCGCGTAGGCCTCGCGTAAGCGCGTAAAGTCCTCGTCAATTTGAGGTACCTTCAAGGCAGCCCATGAGAGGCCAAGCGTCCTCCAAGACGATCCAAGATGCCTCCAAGACGACCCAAGAGGCCAGAGGCCCGTAAGATCGCCCCAAGATGGCCCAAGATACCCCCAAGACGGCCCCAAGACGTGTTCGAACATCTGCACGTATGCAGACGGCTTCAACGGCCTCGAAGGCGGCGTAGAGAGGCCCAAACGGGCCCGAGGACGGCCCAAGAGCGATCCAGATAGGCCACGACGGCCTCAATACGGCTCAAGAGGTCTCCCGCCCCCCCCCCCCCGAGCACCGATGGGCGGTCTGAGCGGGAACAAACAACGAAAGTAGGGCTTTCGCCGTCCGGGGTGCGCCCTTGGCCCAGCCCTACCTGCATAAGCTCCTCGCCAGCTTAAGGCACCTCCAAGACGGCGTGAGAGAGGCCCAGACGGAACCGAAGACGGCCCAAGAGCGATCCAAGATAGCCCTAGATGGCCCCAGCACAGCCCAAGAGGCCTCCAAGACACCCCAAGCGGCACCCGAGAGGACCCCCAAAAGTGAAGAAGGACGAATCTACCATTGTTGCTTTTAGGTTTATGCAGGTTTTCCAGCTCCTCGCCTTTTCGGGCAAGAACGGCCCGATACAGTTCGGGCAAGAACGGCCCGATACAGCTCCAGAGCCCCCCGAGATTGTGCCATGACGGCCCGAGAGGCTCCCAAGAGAGCCTGAGGACGGCCCAGAAGGGCCCCAAGAGGGCCTAAGAGAGCCACAAGACGGCCCAAGGAGGGCCTGGGAGACGCCCAAGATGCTCCCAAGAGACAGTATGTCGTCGTCATCATCATCAACAGTACTATCCTAATCTTCATTCGTGTTTTATCGCGTTCTAGTGCCTTCCCAAGATACCAACACGCCCTGGTTCCCCCTCAAGAGGCCTCCTGCAGCTTCGAGATAGCCCTAGAGGGCGCCCAATATGCCACCAAGATGCCCCAAGAGAGCCTCCAGACGGGGAGGCAGCGAGAAAGAACGGGCAAGCCAGCGATATCTCGCGCTCTGAAAGTATATGCGCTTTCCGTCCCCGTGCCAAGCAGGTAACGGAAAGAGCGAGGTACGAGTGATGACGTTCTGGTGTGGGCGAAGCCCTAAAGGGAGGGGTTCCAGGGGAGGGGGGTAGCGTGCACATTTGGGTGTTCATGGCCGTTTTCGGGTTTTCCCTCGGGTTTTTGCATGTTTTTCGGGTTCCCCCCCAAGACGGCCCAAGAGCGCTCCAAGAGAGCCCAAGACCGCCCAAGACGGCCCAAGAGGCCCCCAAGAGGCCCCCAAGAGGCGCCCAAGGGGCGTCCCAAGAGGGCCCCAAGAGGCCGAAATCATCGATTTTCCAAAAGGAAACGTATATTTTTAGCACATGCGCTTTGTCGGCTTTCACGGCGTTGACGACGGCCCCAGAGGCCCCCAAGACCGCCCCAAGACGGCCCAAGATGCTCCCAAGAGGCCCCCAAAACGACCCAAGAGGGCCCTCAGACGGCCCAAGAGGCGCCCAAGACGGCCCAAGAGGGCCCCAAGACCCCAAGAGGGGGACCACGAACCGAAAAGTCTAGCCTTTCGCCCCAAGACGCTCCCAGGAGGCCCCCAGAGCCCCCCAAGAAGCCCCAAGAGGCCCCCAAGAGGCGTCCCAAGAGGCCACCGGGAGGCGAAAATCATTGATTTCCTTGGGGAAAAGGTACATTACATTTTTAGCATACAAGGCTTTTCGGCTTTCACTGCGTTGAAGACGCTCCAAGAGGCCCCCAAGACCGCCCCAAGACGGCCCAAGATGCTCCCAAGAGGCCCCCAAAACGGCCCAAGAGGGCGCCAAGACGGCCCAAGAGGCGCCCAAGACGGCCCAAGAGGGCCCCAAGACGGCCTCAAGAGGGGGACCACGAACCGAAAAGTCTAGCCTTTCGCCCCAAGAAGCTACCAGGAGGCCCCCAGAGCCCCCCAAGAAGCCCCAAGAGGCCCCCAAGAGGTTCCCAAGAGGCTTCCAAAAGGGCCCGACAAGGGCCCCAATAGGACTCCCAAGAAGGCCCAGAGACGCCAAAGAGAGAGCGATCGGTAACGCAAAAAGCTCTTCACACCAAGGCTCCCAAGAGCGAACGGTGACGTAAACAAGCTGATAAAACCAAGGCTCCCAGCAGAGAGCGGTGACCTAACAAGTTCCTGACACCAAGGCCCAGCCAAGGCTCAGGAACGGGCGGCAACGCAACAATCCCTGAACACCAAGGCTCCCAAGAGCGAGGGGTGACGTGACAAGCTCTCAACGCCAAGGCTCCCGGCACGAACGGTGGTGTGCGTAATTTCGGTTCCTGTTGCTGCAGCGCTCTTTCCGTTGCCGCGCCGGGCCCAGGTCTAGTGGCCTTCGGTCCGTCCCGCCGCCGAGCCCTGGTCGTAGGTCAGGGGCCTCATGCTTGCCTGTGGGGATCTCTTGGGAGGCCTCTCGCGAGCCCCTTCGAGGCGGCTCTGGGGGCGTCCGTGAGGCCTCGCGAGGGCCTCGTCGGACCCTCTCGGGGCCTTCGCGCACGGGCCGCGCAGCGCCTGGCTGCGGTGTCTCAGGGGAAGTGGCTCTTCGCCTCCGACCCCGTGCTTTTGCATGGCCAGGCTGTCCTCCTCGTCCGTCCTGCCCTGGTACGCTGGACCTCACTCTCACGCCTTTTCTGCCTCGCATGATGGTGCAGCTCTTCCACATCTCTGCTTTTGTGGCGCTCGCTACTCTCTCCGATGGTGACACCGTCTTGTTTGCCCAGGTTACGGCGGGACAGGCAAGAAGTCGCACAACAACAATTTTTCCGACTATGGTGGTCCTTTTCGAGTTGGAGACGTCATCGGCGCAATAGTAGACTGCGATCAGGGCACGATATCGTTCCATCTTCTTGCAGACAGAGGGTTGACCAAGGAGTATGATTGTCCAGCCCACGTGTCGCTGTATTTTCGATTGCATTCCCAGTCTTCCGATGCTATACTACGACTACCAAATGATAGTGTTTTTTGTGCACTTCCGATGAGCTGAGTGGTAAGGGCGACGAAGATAGTTTGCGATAAGCCAGAGGCGTGGCAGGCTGCGAGCGCGCGTCATGGATTAGTGATGGCCGTATGTATTAGAGATGGGCATGCTACTCAGTCACGTCAGGGAGCATATTCGCTACTACTCTAGAGGGAATGCAAGTTAGCTGGGCGACAGCTTCTTCCACGGCATGGCTCATGTTGCAGATTCAGCAGGTGGGTGCATGCGTGTGAGGTTGTGCTAACATATGAATGTGCGTCAGGATGAGTGTGACATGTGGCCACTGGTGTGTTCAAACGCGCAAATGTGTTCAAATTTGCTAGTTATTACACTGCCGAAAGTTTCGTGATATATGCAGAAGTGGCGCCTGTGACGATCCGGAATGCCCATGCCGTGGGACCTACTTCTAATCGTATGTAGTTAAGTATGGGCTCGGCGGTCTACATGTAGTTTGAGTATCGCTTGTTCCCACCTTCCCATCCAGAAACGGTGGTGGTCATGGTTTTGTTGCTGGCGTTTGCAGGGCCACTCTCCGAACGGCTCGCCCAGTCATGTCTCATTTGAATCATAGCCGGATCCTCATCCCCCCATCGGGACTGGATTTTCGCCTGCTGTTAATGATGGTTGTGCATGGCGGTTGCGCTTTACAGCTTTTTTGCTCTCTTGCTTGCTTGCTTGGCCGCTGAGTACACTAGAGTAGAGTAGCTCTATTTGTTCGTAGTGCAAGCCGAAGTAGAGCCGAGTAGAGTAGAGAGGAGTAGCGTAGACTCTCGTATGTTGGCGTAGCGTGAAGTAGCTTAGGTCGTGGACAAGAGGCGTAGACTAGCGTAGACAAACTAGAGTTGGTATGCTGGCGTAGGCTAGGCTATGTTGGCCTTCGGTCTCTCCGGCTATCGTGCCCAGGTCGTGAACAAGAGGTCGCTTGGATGCCACTTGGTGCGCTTGGGCCCTTTGTGGCCCCCGAGGGCCTTTTTGGGGGCCTCTTGGGTTCCTGCTGGCGGTCTCGACGGCATGGGGTTGGCTCTATGTACCAGTCCGAGTCTCCTCTCTTGGGCCTCTCTTGGAGGCCTCTTGGGTGCATCTTGGGGGCCTCGGCGGCCCTCTTGGACGGATCATGGGGGCCTCTCGAGTCGTCTTGGACGCTGCTGAGACCGAAAACAGGAGTATACGAAATTCAAAGATATACTCATTGTTTTCCAATGATTTGGTGTTCTTGGGTGGGCCCCCCAGGGCCTCCACGACGGCCCGAGACGCCCTCAAGAGAGCTCCCAAACGGTCCCTCTGGGGGTCGTCTTATGACACGCGGGACTCGCGTACTCCCGACCACGCTCCCGAGACCCTGATCGACACCATCCATTCGCGACTTGCAGGACGGGCTTGTCTGCGCGGTTGAGTTCCACGCATCCGTGCTCCCGTTGAGATCACGACCAGATGAGCTTTGCCAACACGTTGTGGGCGGGAAGGTTGGGTGCTTGCACGAGCATTGGAGCTGACCGCTGAAAGGCCCACAAGTGAGCTGCACCCCATTTGCATACTACAATTAGTATTATCCCAGTGCGACCTACCTAGGAGTTGGAGCCCCAAGGAAAGCAGCATTAGTAGTAACAGTACAGCTAAACTAAAGCTAAGCTAAAGCTAAGCTAAATCTAAGCTAAAGCTAAGCTAAAGCTAAGCTAAAACTACGCTGACGCTAAATTAAAACTAAGATAATACTACGCTCAATCAAAGCTAAACATAAGCTAAAGCTAAGCTACAACTATGACACGCTATGCTATGCTATGCTGAGCTATGCTATGCTATGCTATGCTTGGCTATGCTATGCTATGCTATGCTGTACTAATGCTGCGCTGCGCTATGCTGCGCTGCGCTAAGCTAAGCTAAGGTAAGCTAAGCTATGCTAAGCTAAGCTAAGCTAAGTCAGGCTAGGCTAAGCTAAGCTAAGCAAAGCTAAGCCAAGCCAAGCTAAGCTGAACTAAGCTAAGCTAAGCTAATATGAGATAAGCTAAGCAAAACTAAGCTGAGCTAAGCTAAGCTAAACTAGGCTAGGCAAAGCTAAGCTAAGCTAAGCTAAGCTAAGCTAATAGGATATGCTATGCTAAGCTAAGCTAAGCTAAGCTAAGCTAGGCTAGGCTAGGCAAAGCTAAGCTAAGCTAAGCTAGGCTAAGCTAAGCTAAGATGAGATAAGCAAAGCTATTCTAAGCTAAGCTAAGCTAAGCGTGGCTAAGCTAAGCTGGGTGAACCCAGGGGGCGCAACTGGGGGAACCGCGGGGCGGATCCTGGGGGAACCGCCCGGGGCGGGGAACACTGCCCAGCCCTGTAAGCAATAAAGTAAGAACCCTTCTAGGCAGAGCCTAGGTAGGGAATTCAACAGCAGCCCAGATTTTACCAGACGTATGCTGCATTCCACATGTTTACCATACAGCGTGCAACGTCAGAGTGCAGCAGCCCAGTGCCTGTGTTTCACGGTGGTAAAATCCCCAATCAAAGCTTGCCTCTGTAGGGTTCCTAGCGGATTCATATGGTCAGGTGAGGGGCATCGCCGATTTCGGTGGCCGGCCGGGGTGCCCGGGGGTGCCTGGAGGTGCCGGGGGGTGCCCGGAGGTGCCCGGGGGTGCCCGGAGATGCCGGGGGGGTGCCCGGAGGTACCCGGGTGCTCTATCGCCCTATAGGCCTATAGCCCTACAGCCTTATAGCCCTATAGCCTCAGCCATACAGCCCAATAGCCCAATATACCTATAGCCCTATAGCCCTATAACCCTATTGCGCTATAGCCCTATAGCCCTATAGCCCTATAGCCCTAGAGCCAGATAGCCCTATAGCGCTATAGCCTTCTAGCCCTACAGCCCTATAACCCTATTGCCATATCGCCCTATAACCCTATAGTCTTATAGGCCTATAGCCTTATAGCCCTACAGCCCTATAGCCCTATAGCCGGATAGCCCTCATTGCCTTCATAGCCTTCGCAGACTTCATAAACCTAAGGAGCAAATATAGAGGGATATACATATAACGGCGCACCGGGTCCGGGGGCCCGGGGCCGGGACCCCGACCACAAATGTGCGCCCCGGGGGGCCCGGAGGCTCGTCGGGGCTTGCCGGAGGCCTCCCCAGTCAGACAAGACGGCCCAAGAAGCGCCCAAGACGGCCCAAGAAACTTCCAAGAGGCCTCCAAGAGGGCTCCGAGATGCTGAAGATGGCCTCCAGACGTCCAAGGACGCCCCCAAGAGGCCCCAAGAAGCCTCCAACATGCGTCCCAAGAGGGCCCCTAGACGCAAAAATTGGCCCATTCCCTTCGTAAAACGTACATTTTCAACAAAGTTGTCTTTTGGGCTTTCCGACGTTACAGGACGGCCCAAGAGGCGCCCAAGACCGCCCCAAGACGGCCCAAGAAGCTTCCAAGAGGGCCCCAGGACAGCCCAAGAGGGCCCCAAGACGGCCCAAGAGGCGCCCAAGATGGCCCAAGAGGGCCCCAAGACGGGCCCAAGAGGGGGCCCAGAGGGGGACCACGAACCGCAAGCTCGAGCCTTCCGCCCCAAGAGGCCGCCAGGAGGCCCCCAGGAGGCCCCTCAAGAGGCCCCAGGAGACCCCAGACGTCCAAGGACGCCCCCAAGAGGCCCCAAGAAGCCTCCAACATGCGTCCCAAGAGGGCCCCTAGACGCAAAAATTGGCCCATTCCCTTCGTAAAACGTACATTTTCAACAAAGTTGTCTTTTGGCTTTCCGACGTTACAGGACGGCCCAAGAGGCGCCCAAGACCGCCCCAAGACGGCCCAAGAAGTTTCCCAGAGGGCCCCAGGACAGCCCAAGAGGGCCCCAAGACGGCCCAAGAGGCGCCCAAGATGGCCCAAGAGGGCCCCAAGACGGGCCCAAGAGGGGGCCCAGAGGGGGACCACGAACCGCAAGCTCGAGCCTTCCGCCCCAAGAGGCCGCCAGGAGGCCCCCAGGAGGCCCCTCAAGAGGCCCCAGGAGACCCCAGACGTCCAAGGACGCCCCCAAGAGGCCCCAAGAAGCCTCCAACATGCGTCCCAAGAGGGCCCCTAGACGCAAAAATTGGCCCATTCCCTTCGTAAAACGTACATTTTCAACAAAGTTGTCTTTTGGGTTTTCCGACAAGGACGGCCCAAGAGGCGCCCAAGATGGCCCAAGAGGGCCCCAAGACGGGCCCAAGAGGGGGCCCAGAGGGGGACCACGAACCGCAAGCTCGAGCCTTCCGCCCCAAGAGGCCGCCAGGAGGCCCCAAGGAGGCCCCTCAAGAGGCCCCAGGAGACCCCAGACGTCCAAGGACGCCCCCGACGCTTCGCGTCACCAATTTCTTCTCGCAACGATTCCTGGGTCTGTGACTCGACAGAACCTAAGCGGCGAGCGCGCGCGTGGTTCTAATGTAATACCAAACAAGACTCTGATTGGGTTTCTCTTTGGTATCATGTGGATTCATCAACATACGTTTACATCTCTATACTTACGTTCGTGAATATCAATATGTGCACAAAATTCTATGAGAGAGAGGGAGAGAGACTGAAAGAGAGAGAGAGGGAGATCAGTATAAGTATAGAAAAGGAGGGAGAGAGAGAGAGAGAGAGAGAGAGAGAAAAATAGAGAGAGAGAGAGAGAGAGAGAGAGAGAGAGAGAGGTAAAGAGAGGGACAAAGACCGTATGCAATGACCTCCCCTACAGGTTCATGAAGAACGGGCAGTTCATGGGAGTTGCGTTCGATAACGTCCCGCCCACCGTTATGCAGACAGGCATTTTTCCCCACATACTGATGAAGAACGTGAGAGTGAAGGTTCCACATTTCATATTTGTTCTTAACGCTCTTGCAGTCATATTTATTGTCAGCTGCTTTTTGCTCGTGCTCCCGCATGCCTAGTTTATGCACCAGTGTCCCATCGCGCGCGTTTACAATTTCGCACGGCGTCGTTGCTGCGAGCGGATGCTGCTGCGACGTGTCATGGTGAGCGTCGGGCCTTCTCAGTGCGCTGCGTTCGCTCATGACGACGACGACTCGTGTCGCCATGATGGCGAAGCGGCGGTGCCGCCATAATGGCGAAGCGGCGACGACTAAGCTCCGGAGGGGGGGGCACTGGATCCTTCGCTCTCAAGCCACGTGGCAGGCCCCCGCTCCTCATGCGCCTCTTTTGCTTTGATGGCAATCTGGGGCCTCGCGGGGACATCTTAGGAGTTCTAAAGGTGCCTTGGGCCGTTCTGGGATGCTTTTGGGTCATCTTGCGCCGAGAAGAGCGCCAGAGAGCAAACGAAGGGTGTGCGGAGCCCCGAACCTTCCGTGACAAGAGGGAGGGGGCAGGAAACCACACCAACCCGACCTGACATCTTGCCCAATCTGCCAAGGAATCAGTGGCGGATCATGCGAACGAGACGGAAGAGGTTACATTTGGGCGTCAGCCTCTGAATTCAAGCACCCTGCGACCGAGTGCGGTCCGTGTCTTCGCAACAGGCTCAGGCATGCATCAGATGAGGTTTCTCTTTTCTGTGATCGACATCCGTGTCCTCGTTTCGTAGCCCGTGTTTTCTCGCGACTTGTTTTGTGCATCCTCGTTTTCGGCAGGCCATGCTCACGTCCTTCAAAGTTGGCCATACTGGTTGGTCTCGCTGTTCTTGCGATTCTCGGCGCTCCTGGCACAAGCAGTCTGGACGCCGAGACGTCGACCGCCATCGCGGCGGCCACGCGCGAGAGCGAACCGCCCTCGGACAGCCAGGCAGCAGCCACAGCGGGGCTGCAGGAAGTCTGGCCCCGCTTGCGTTTGTGCGGCGCTGCCGCGTGACGGAGCAAGTTCGACCTGGCGCCATCGGTCCCGACCCAACATCATCATCATCATCATCATCATCATCATCATCATCATCATCATCATCATCATCATCATCATCATCATCATCATCATCATCATCATCATCATCATCATCATCATCATCATCATCATCATCATCATCTCATCATCATCATCATCATCATCATCATCATCATCATCATCATCATCATCATCATCATCATCATCATCATCATCATCATCATCATCATCATCATCATCATCATCATCATCATCATCATCATCATCATCATCATCATCATCATCATCATCATCATCATCATCATCATCATCATCATCTCATCTCATCATCATCATCATCATCATCATCATCATCATCATCATCATCATCATCATCATCATCATCATCATCATCATCATCATCATCATCATCATCATCATCATCATCATCATCATCATCATCCCATCATCATCCCTCCTCTCCCCCCTCCTCCTCCCTCCTGGAGGGGGACGCCAGCAGGACGCCTCCAGGGAGCAGCTAGCTCCTGGGGTTCCTCTGGCGGCCCGTCGGGAGGGGCACCGCCCGGCCGACCGGCGGGCCCGCGCGGGGGAGAGGGGGCGATGAGGAGGAGGGGAAGGAGGAGGAGGAGGAGGAGGAGGAGGAGGAGGAGGAGGAGGAGGAGGAGGAGGAGGAGGAGGAGGAGGAGGGGCAGGAGGCCGAGGTGCCCTTTTGGTGTGCTCCTCGCGTCCCCGTGGAGCCCGTGCAGGGCCCCTTTTGGCTCTCGTGATGGGGTGCTCCGGAGGGCATCGGGGCCTCCAAAGCGGGGACCACCGTGGACCTGGCCGCCTCTGGCATCACCCGACTGGGGGGGTCCCCTCCACGCCGGCAGATGTGGGTGCCCCACCCGCGGTGCACAGGGCGAGCAGAGAGGGGGAGGCGCAATGTGCACACTTGGGCGCAGGGCACCTTCCTGATTCCCCCCTCTCCGCCTGTCCCAACCTCGGGGGCGGACAGAACCCCCAATAGTGACACGTCGATTAGTGAATTGTCCGTTTTCGGTTCTCGAGAGTTCGCCGCGGCCGTTATTTTCCAAGCTTGCGCCCGCCAGGTTTGGGTCTCAGGTCGTTTTCATTAAATCTCGTTTTGCTAAGGGAGGTCTGTCCATCCCCGACAACCGCTCTTTGATCCCGCGGCTTCGTCTGCGCCCAAGTGCTTGGCATCTCTCTCTCTCGCTCTGATTTCTCCTTCTTCCTCCCGCGCTCAGCTCAACTTCAGACGGGCCACCAAGTGGTACGACCCTCCAGGGCCGCAGGTGAAGTTCTTCGAGGAGGCGCGCGCCTCGGGGCCTGGGCGGCTGCGGGCACGGGGGGACCTGGAGGAGGAGCAGGATGGGGCTGTAGCGTCCAGACGGAGAGAGGAGGATAGAGGATAGAGGAAGAGAGAGAGAGAGAGAGACGAGAGAGAGGAGAGAGAGTGAACACTAGCGAAAGAGCGTGTGTTTGTTTGTTTGTTTGTTTGTTTGTTTGTTTGTTTGTTTGTTTGTGTGGTTGTGTGTGTGTGTGTGTGTGTGTGTGTGTGTGTGTGTGTGTGTGTGTGTGTGTGCGTGCGTGCGTGCGTGCGTGCGTGCGTGCGTGCGTGCGTGCGTGCGTGCGTGCGTGCGTGCGTGCGTGTGTGTGTGTGTGTGTGTGTGTGTGTGTGTGTGTGTGTGTGTGTGTGTGTGTGTATCTGCGGGTCGGCCTACTCGGCCGCAGTCCCCATGGGCGCTCGCGCTCCCTCCTGCAGTCGGGCCAGCACCCCTTCTGCCGGGCGCCTCCGAGGCTGCTATTGCGTCCCACTGGGAGCGAAGCCCGCCCCCCTCCCCGCCGCTGGTGGCGCCCCTCTCTGCCCCTTTGAGGGCCGAGGTGGCCGGGGGGGTCCCTGACGGGAGCCCCTCTCCTCCCCCGGCGGCTCTGGCAGCAGCTGGGGCCGTCGGGAGAGACCAACACAACAAATTATGGAGGGAGCCTCGCCCGGGGGGGGTTGCTCTCTCCACCCGCTCTGAGCATCGGCCGGGGGCGTTGCTCAGGGGGGGATTCGCTCCCCGCTGCCACGCACGCCGCGCTCCGCAGAGCGTCCCCCCGACGGCCCTCGCTGCCTGGCCGCTCCTCGGCGGGCTCTCTTCCGCCGCCCGACGGCCTCGCGCCTCGCCGCGGTCCGGGCGGCCTGGACGGTCCGGCCTGCGGCCCCTCGTCGCCGCGGCCTCGCGCTCGGGCCGTCGGCCGTCTGGGCCTCTGCTCCCCTCGGGCCAGGCGAAAGGGGGGGGGACAGGGAAAGGGGGGGGGTACGAACTCTGCTGCACATCTGGTTTCGTCCCCACCGAGGGGCCCATTCCCCCGGCCGCCTCCGGCGCTGGGAGGCGCTGGGAAAATCAGCCACGTGAGCTGATTCTCCCCCCCAGCCCGATCTCCGCTGCCCGTGGGCAGTAAGTTTTGGTGGGGAATGCCCCTCTTCAGGAGGAGTATGCAAGAGCAGTTGCAAAAATAGTCAGGGGACGAGTTTCGTGGTCTTCGCACTACCTGTGATTATTTTTTGACAGTCCTATACTTTCTTCCAAAATCCGCCTGTATGAGGATGTAGCCGATCTAACAGTAGGGTAGGTTCGTCGCGTCGTGTCGACCAGCGGCGACCCCGTCGCCTGCGTTAAACGTTGAACTCCGCCGGTGACCCAGAGTCGGTAGATGTTGAACGATCTGACGTTTCAGAAACGACCGATCCTTCAAGGCTGAACGATCCCCGTGGGGTCAGAGACCAGCGCTGGGGTCGTCACGACACGAACCCGACGTACAGTGTCTTTCTCGGCGGGGGCGGCTGGTGTCGCCGGGCATCGCAGTCACCTCTCCCTCCTGTCTCTCCTTCTTTGTCCTGATCGAGGACGGACGATCGGCGCAAACATGAACTTTCTGGATGTCCGCGCGGACTCCCTACATTCTATGGGTATGCAGTGTTTCGTTCCTCTGCTCGCTGTCTCTCGGTCGGCGGCGGGCCAGGGGGAGAAGTGAGAAGGGGAAGGCCTTCTCAGAAGGCTCGGAAGTCTCCGGGCCTTCTGAGAAGTTTTCGAATTCTTCCTCGAATACACATTTCTGAGAGGCCCCGCCTCCTGAGAGGGCCTTCTCCTTCTCACTTCCTCCCCTCGCTCGCTGCTGATCGCTGTCTCTCGGTCTTCTCCGTGGCGCCGTTCTTGCGGTCGCATCCCCGCTCCGCTTTCTGTCTCGCGGGTCGTCCAGTGCTCCTGCCCGTCTGCCGAAAAACGCGGTCTGTGCATATCGCGCCGCGCTGCTTCCTAAGGAAGCCAGTTCGATGCATAAGTGGCCCGTTGCGTGTAGGGTGCTGCTGAAGGGGTGCTGTGGGAAGACGTGCCGATGTACACCCTGCTTTACACCCTCAACTCTGTTTCCCCGCAGCGATACCTGGCCCCGACGTCGAGTACTTCGCACTAAGGAGAGAAGCCAGGATGACCCAGTGTCTCGAGGCGTTGCGGGAAAGGGGCGAGATAGCCACTATCGACCCCAGAGGAGACCGCATGAACGAGGCGACCGCTGGCTAAGCCAGTGACGCCTTCAAGGGATGGAATATGAGCGTGGTTGACGATAGGAATACATTCTCGTCCACCGAGTACCGTATCGTTGACGGGGCCGCGGAGGTCAACCCAATGTTCGACATTGAGGACAAAAAGGATCGTGTGTTCCCACGTTTTTGAAGGTACTTAAGCTCATCAGAGACCGATTGTAACCAGGCCAGACACAATCGTTAGTGGGCTGATAGGAAGAGCGGTGAATTATGACAGTCCAGCCGATTACACGCTGTGATGTCTCACGTTCCGTCGATCCCGAAGTCTTCGGACAGGAAGCTGATACTGGTCGACCTTTCGTACAGGAACAGCGGCACGCATGCCAACTCCAAGGCTTGGCTCTCGGCGGCTACTCGCCGGGCGCGTTTTCCCCGAGCCCACCAGAGTTACCT